ATTACAGGTATGTGCCACCTTGCCCAGCGTGGTGTTATGGGGTTTCTTTTAGATATTTATATATTCTGCATATTAATCCCCTGTCAGAGGAACAACTGATAAAGATTTTCTTTCATTGTGTAGGCTCTCTCATCATGCTTTCTATCATTTTATTTCTGTGCCAGGCTTTTTAATTTGATAGCAGCACATTTATTGACTTTTCATTTTCTTAAGCCTTAAGTGGTTTTGGTAAGGAAGTAAGTGCCTGCACTTATACGATAGAGTGTTGACCCATGTATTCTTTTAGCAGTTGCAAGGTTCTGGTCTAATTCCTCAGTCTTTGATCCATTTTGATTTGACTTTCATGCAGGGTGAGAGAAAAAGGATCTAATTTCATTCTTCTACGTGAGGATATCTAGTTTTCCCTGCATCATTTTCTGAAAAAGGTTATCTTTTCTCCAACATATATTTTTGTCACCTGTGTCAAAGATCAGATGACTGTATCTAAGTGGATTTGTCTCTGTGTTTTCTAATCTCTTCCATTGGTGTTTGTGTCTATTTTGATGCCAATACCATGTAATTTTTGTTACTCTAGCTCCACAGTGTAATTTGAAATGAAGTATTGTGATGCCTCCTCTATTGCTCTTCTTGCTCAGGGTTTCTTTGGCTATTCTGGGTCTCTTAATCATCTGAATGAATTTTGGAACTACTTCTCTCTAGTTCTGTAAAGAATGTCATTGGTATTTTAATGGGGATGATATTAAATCTATATTTTACTTTTGGAGGTATGGCCATTATGACAATATTGATTCTGCCTCTCCAAGAACAAGGGAGGTCTTTCTGTCTTCTGAGGTCTTCTTCAATTTCTTTCTTAAGAGTTTCTAAGATTTTCATTGTAGAGATCTTCATCTCATTGATTAGATTAATTTCCAAGGGTTTGGATGCTTTGGTTTGGTCTGGGTTTTGGTTCTTGGTTTGGGGTTTTGTTTTTGTTTGTTTGTTGAGGTTATGTTAAATAAAGTGATTTTCCTTATCATCTTCTCATCTGAATCACTGTTGGAGTATATTATAAATGTGTTTTTATATCCCGCTACTGTATATAATCTTCTGGTGAACATTTTTTGGGTCTTCTAGATAAAGTTCATATCATCAGCAAACAGAAATAGTCTGACTTCTTCTTTTATTATTTGTATCCCTTTAATTTCCTGCCTTTGTCTACTTTCTCTGGGTAGTGTTTCAAAACCTAAATTGAATAGAAGTGGTGAAAGTGGACATACTTGTAATATTCCTAATTTTAGAGAAAAAGCTTTCAGTTTTTCTCCATTCAGTGTGATATTGGCTTTGGGTTTGTTATCAAGTCTTTTTAATATTGAGGTATGTTCCTTCTATACCTAGTTTCTCCAAGTTAACATGAATGGGTTCTGTTTCTTATCAAAGGCCTTTTTGGCATCTATTGAGATGATCACATGATTCTTGTCCTTAAATCTATCTGTGTGGAGTATTACATTTATTTTATTTTATTTTGGGCACACCAGGGATTGAACATAGAAGCACTCAACCACTGATCCACACCCCCAGCCCTTATTTTGTATTATATTTAGAGACAGTTTCTCACTGAGTTGCTTAGTGCCTCCCCAAGGCTGAGGTTGGCATTGAACTTGGGATCCTCCTGTCTCACCTCCGGTATCACTGAGATTACAAGCATGCATCACCACACCTGGCTAAGAATTGCATTTATTGATTTGCACATGTTGAACAGACCTTACCTTCCTGGGATGAATTCCACTTGATCATGGTGTATTATCCTCTTAAAATGTTTTCTTATGTGGTTTGCTAACATTTTATTAAGGATTTTTATATCTATGTTCTTCAGGGAGATTGCTCTGTAATTTTCTTTCCTTGATTTATCTTTATCTGGTTTTGGTATCAGGGTTATACTAACTTTGGAGAGTAGATTCGTTCTTCAGGGAGATTGCTCTGTAATTTTCTTTCCTTGATTTATCTTTATCTGGTTTTGGTATCAGGGTTATACTAACTTTGGAGAGTGTATTCGTGAGTATTCCCTCCCTTTCAATTTTGTGGAATAATTTGAGAAAATCTGGTGTTATTTCTTCTTTAAAGGTATGGGAGAACTCAGCTGAGAATCCATCTTGTCCTGGGCTTTTCTTTGTTGGAAGACTTTTAATTGTCATCTCAATTTTATTACTTGTTATTAGTTTATATAGGTTTTCTATGTCTTCCTGGTTCACTTTGGGTGGTTGTATATGTCTAGAACTTATTCAGTGTGTTCTAGGTTTTCCAATTTATTGGAGTATACATTTTCAAAATAGTTTCTGATGATCCTCTGAATTTCAGAAATGTCTATGATAACATCTCTTTTTTCATTCTTTTTTAAAAAGGCTTCTCTCTCCTTTTCTTTTGGTGAGTTTGGCTAAGGGTTTATCAATCTTTATGTACCTTTTCAAAGAACCAACCATTTCCTGTATTGCTCCTGTATATTTTTTTTAATTCTCAATTTCATTATTTTGGGGATTAGTTTGTTCTTCCTTTTCTAAGGCTTAGAAATGGAGCATAAGATTATTTATTTAGGATCTCTCCATTTTTTAAAGATTGCCATTTTGCACTATGAATTTTTCCCTTAGAAATGCTTTCATACTATCCCAGAGATTTTGATATATTGTATCTCACTGCACACTTGTCTCTAAGAACTTCATGATTTTTTCTCTAATTTCTTCTATAATCCATTATTCATTTCAGAGTATTCAATCTCCATGTATTTATGTGGTATCTATTCTTTTTTCTTACTGTTGAATTCTAGTTTCATTCCATTATAATCCTAAAGGATTCATGCCATTATGACAATTTTTTGGTATTTTAAGATGTACATTGTGACTTAGATTATGGTCTATTTTGGATAAGGTTCCATGAGCTTCTGAGAAGAAGGTAAATTCAGCTGCTTGGGGGTGATATATTCTGTAGATGTCTTTTTGATCCATTTGATTTATACCATTATTTAGGTTGAAGATATCTTTATTGATTTCACATTTGTATGACATCTCTATTGATTGTGGGAGGCCATTCTCACACATGATTGGGCTACTCCCCGATTGGGTGTAAGGCGCTTTGGCTAAACTGTGTCGAAGCTTTCCCCACCCTCTCCTGGTTCGAGAGCCTGTCCGTGTGGGGGTGTGACTGACCACTGACCCTGAGGCCAATCACTGACCCTGACCTTGGAGTGCTGCCCCCCTCAACCTTCATTGGATGGAATTTTCCCCTGAATTTCTTGTTCCCCAATAAAAGGCCACTCCCTGATGTGCTCTGCCTCTCTCTCTCCTGCTAGCCCTGAGTAATCCTTGCTGGTTCGAGGTGTAAGCCAGAGAGGTGAGAGCCATCTCGGACCTGGTCATAGAAAAAGGTAATTGAGTCTGTGTGTTTATTTTGATCTCACTAGCTAACTTTTATGCCAAGAACCTCTTTAATGAGACCAGTGCGCTGGTCGCATGGTGGAAATTGATGGTAAGGGCATGTTAAAATCACTCAGTATTATTGTATTGGGGTCTATGGGAAATTGAATGTCAATAAGTTATTCTTTTTATGTATTTAACTATATTGTCATTTGGGATTTATACACTGCTATTGTTATATCTTCTTATTGAATTGCTCCATTTATCTATGTGGTGGCATTCTTTGTCCCTTCTAATTAATTGTGCTTGAAATCTGCTTTGCCAGATGAGAATAGCTGTTCCTGCTTGTTTTTGAACTTCATTTGCATGAAACAATTTTTTCATCCTTTTACAATCAGCTTGCAGATGTCTTTTCCTGTGAGTCTAGTGCAAATAGAAAATAATTAGATCTTATTTTTAGATCCACTCAACCAATCTATGTCTTTGAATTAGGGAATTGAGACCATTTGCATTCAGTGTTATTATGGACATGTTTGTAGTTTTCTGACTTTTGCTTTGTTTGCTATATTTAATTCTGTCTTGATCCTCATCTGGTTGTTTTTCTTCTAGTGATCTTCATCTATTGGGGAGTTTTTTGTTTTTGTTTTGTTTTTTGGTAGAGGGGGAGCGGTGGTTCCTCTGTGTGCAGTTTAACTTGGGAGTATTTTTTGTAGTGCTGGCTTGGTGGTCACGACTTTTTTTACTTTAAGATTTTATTTCCTCATTGATTTTGAAAGAAAGCTTTGCTGTATATAAAAATCTTGTCTGGCCATTGTTTTCTTTTAGAACTTGAAATATCTTAATTTTACAGTCTGATTTGACGTGAACCTTATTGGCTTACCTATAATATTTTTTTCTTTCAGCTTTTAATATTCTTTCCTTATTGTCTATATTAGGTAGTTTGACTATGATGGTATTTGAGAAGTTCTGTGCTTATCTTGACCAAATGGGGTACTATAGGCTTCTGTATGTAGTTGTCTAATTTCTGATATGGGGAAATTTTTTCTGTTACTATCTCATTGAAAATAAGATACTGTGTATCTCTATGTTGTTTTCTATACCAATTATTCTCAGGCTTACTCTCTTGATGCTGTCTCAGAGTTCTTATACATTCTGACCATGATCTTCCATTTTTATTTTATTTTTATTACCAAATGATATAATTGGTGATATTGATACCTCCAGTTACTGATGATAAACTACCAGGCGCAGTGCACCGTGAGAGCTTTAGTATTCACTTGTAAATTTGGTAGCTATTCACTTTCCAGATCTTCAGCAGTCATCTCCTCCCAGTAGTGGGTGAGTTCCAGGGCAATCAACTAGGGGAAGAAAAGATTACACCATCTCCCTAAACTTCTTAGGGAGGGGGAGAGGAGAGAAGGGGAAAAATATTTTTTTAAAAAATAAGCCTTAGGGCAATGACGGCTACTTTCGGAAGATGAACTGTAACTGTTACAGTTACAGCTTTACACATTAAGGGAAAAAATTTTTGAAAACTATCCCACACCCAGAGGGAAAAAAAACTTGCAAGTGGGACTTAGTGGTAGAGCTTTTGCCTAACACTCGTGAGACACTGGGTTTGATCCCCAGCACCACATAAAAATGAACAAATAAGATAAAGGTATTGTGCCACCTATCTATCAAAGTTTAGCCAGAGCCCGCTTGGCCTATCCCCAGCCTCAGGACAGGAGCCGCCCAGCGGCCCGCCCCCAGAACACCCAGCTGATTGGCTATTCGCCGCTCGCCACCCGGCGGCACCTTCTCCTCCGGCCTTAAAGAGGAGTCCCACACCAGGCCGGACGAGGAGCAGAGCACAGAGCCCTCGAAAGGGACCAGGCGGGACGCGGCAATGCTTCCAAGTGGTGGCCGGAGCACGACGGAGTCCAGACGTCCCGCCGACCTGGGGAGGAGGAGAGGCGGGGTGCCCGGAACCCTGGGACCCAGAGCCCCGCGAGCGAGTCCCAGGCAAGAAGCGAGGCTGGAGGGCGGGGAAGATGGAGAGAGGCTGCGGGACGCTGG